AAATTCCTGAATCCCGTGAGACTGTTGTCCGAATTCAGTAGGGCAATGAATATAAAAGCTTTTTTTTAAAAAAATGTGTCTTTTCCACGATAATTATGACAACACTAGTATTAATCTATACATAATCCAGCTCAACAAACACAAAATCATGATCTGCCCACTCCCCGCACCTGAGCTCCACCTGGCTGTGCCACTGCCGTCTGTTAGTTGTTCCTGCAGAACCGAGAGTTCATCTTTGGCATGTCCCTTTCCTTTACTTGTATCTAACCACACCACGCCCTGGCTTGGCCCGTCTCCCCTGCCCCCTAGAGCTTTTGTGACTTTCCCCCAGCACAGTGGCAGGTTTTTTTTTCCAGGCTAGTCTTTTCCTTTCTGCTCTGCTCACCTCTCCATCCCCAAATCTGTTCTCAGTCGTCAACAAGAGCCAGCTTTCCTAGAGCCAAGCCCAGTCATGTCACTCCTTTCCGCTGGGTAAAACCTTCCGTGATTTCCCACTGCTCCTAAGGTAGAGACCAGAGTCCTTATCAGAGTGGCATCTTCCCGCCCACGCCAGCTCCTGCCAGCTTCATATGGCCACCGGGTTGCTCACCAGTCCTTCAGATTTCCTTCCTTCCCACAGGGGCCTGTGCACAGGGTATTCTTTTGTCTGCTGAACTCTGTTCCCTCGCTGCCTTTCTCTCCCCCATTGCTAATTCATTCCGCTCAAGTTACATTTATGTGGGGAAACCTTCCCTGTCTTCATCATCTATAGGGGCTCCTCTGTTATATGTTCCCATAGGATCACATACCTGTCTTCAGTAGATTCATCACTGAGTGTAATCTTTCATGATCTGCAGGATGAGCTGGTAAGTATCTGTCTCTCCCCTGTAACTTCCGTAAGCTCTAAAACCAGGATCATGTCTGTTTTTCACCATGTTCATATCCCTAATGCCTGGTGTGATGCTTGGCCTGTGAAAGTGTTCGCTAAATGAGGGATACACAATGAATTCAGAACTGAATAAGAATAATAAAGCCAATAGCAGGGGGTTTCTTCATCACTGACGAGGGTCACCACATTTCTGAGGCCTGTTGTGCCTCTGCTTAGGTGGCAGCCAGGAGTTTGCCTACCAGTGACCCTGCAGTGGCATAAATAAGGCAGCTCCATCTGCACCAGCCGAAGTCCCAAGAGCAGCCCTGGGACAAGTGAGTGAGTGTCTTTCTATGACAGGTACACCAGGCAGGGAACACGTTAAAACACCACCTAGCAGATGACTTTAGAGAAGAAAGAAGACAGAGAGAAATGGACTCCCACTGTGTTCTGCAGTTGTACAGGAAGCATGTCAGATGGTACCCTCTGCAGACGCATGTGACGGCCTTTCCTGATACGGCTCCCTGTCCTGATATGGCTCCAAGAAATCGCTTTGTACAGCTATTGGAAATGGCATTTCTCAGAAATGTTCCTGTGGGCCCCTTATTATCTGTTAGTGCTGGAGAATGGAGTAATAGGGAACAGGAAATTTATGAGGGATTGGTGCATGATTAAAAGCGAACCGTGGGAGATCGCAGTGGACTGGTACGCTTCTCTCCATAATGACCAATTAGTGTGGATTTGCAAATAGTGATCGCTCAGCCTGCCTATCTCTGTGGCCTGAGAAATGTTCATTGGTCTTTCTGAGGTTTATACAACCCGTTCATTTCCAGCCTCTGAGTCCCCATATCAACAGGCTACCAGGACTGGGGACATCTCAGTGCTCTGAACTCCACCCAGAACATGTAGCTTCTGTCAACAGAGTAGGAGGACGCAGAAGATTTTTATGTAGAGCCTTGTAGATGGTGGCATGTTATCACTCACTTACCACAACAGCCCTGTGGGGTGGAGAGAGTAGTTTGATTACCTCCATCTCACAGATTATTCATAAGTTGAAACACAGAGTTGAAGAGTCTTTGCCTAAGATCAGGCAGCTAATAAATGCTGAGGCTGATACTAGGCTTTTCCCTTTCCAAATGAAATGATGTGAGACATGGGACTGTGTCATTTGGTAGACACAGCTGTGGTGCAGATCTTAAGGGAAGGAGAGAGGCGTGAGCCGCGAGACGCAGCCAGTCT